ATACATACATACATACATACATACATACATACATACATACATACATACATACATACATACATACAGCTATGTGTGTATGTGTGTGTTCCAGCATAATTTTGGCACCAGAGGTGGGTACCTACCTGTTCAGACCAATTCAGACAAGTAGGTAGTAACTTGGCCGTGCATGCCTCCAAATCAGTTCTATCGGCGGTGCCATAGGTGGCGCCATCTTGTTTTTTGCTTTTGTGCATGCGCAGAAGCAATTTTTTCACTATTATGCATGCACGCACAGAGACTTATTCTCTGGAAAAAAATATTGTGGGGGTAAGACACCCCTAACCCTTTGGGGGGGGGGGGTTCTATTAAGATACAGCCTGTTGTGCCTTACAAAGGATGCCGTAAAATGGATTCTACTGTACAGTGCAGTGGAATTGCTGTGGTAATGGCTTCACAGTATTCCACAAGGGGGCTTCCTCTGGTAAGGGAGAAAATCCAACCTTAGAAATTACGTTTGGTCTGGACATTTTCAACACGGTGATTTCATTTTTATTGACGCTTCTGGGGGCAGAGGAAAAACACTAATGTTTTTTTATGTTAAAATGTTAAAAACATTTTTAACTAATTTAATTGTCACTGAAATCAGGGCTCACGGAGAAGTTGCTCTTGCCATCGCCTCTTCAGGAAATGCGGCAACTTTAATGGAAGGAGGGAGGACAGCCCATTCCGCACTTATAATTCATTGCTTTTCCTGTCTCATACAGGATTGGGAACAAATACCAGGGCAACACCGGGCTATCAGCTAGCCAGGTATAACAATAGGCAGCACATCATCTAGAAAAGGCAAGATGAAGGCAAGTGGAACATGAGAACCAATGATTAGCAAGAGAGGTTTGGATTAATCAGAAACCCTGATCAACGGGGTGGAAAGAATGCTAAGTGGTGGAGTGGTCCATTAAAGGGGAAAGTGTGCATTTTATGAAGAGTATGGACTCAGTCCAGTGACTAGGGCAGTGATGGCTAACCTTTTTGTTGTTGGGTGCCAAAAATGCGAGGGCATGCACACGATAGCATGTATGCATGCCAGCACTCAATGTAAAGTGTGCCTCCACATGCACATGCATGCACAACCACCCCACGCTCCCACCACGTGCGCTGCACTGCTCGCCTCCAAGCTTCCTACGTGGGAGGCTGTTTTCTCCCTCCCCAGGCTCCAGAAGAGCCTCTGGAGGGGAGGGTGAAAAACTCCGGTAGGCCCGTTTGGGCCATTTTTCACCCTCTCCAGGCTCCGGAGGCTTTCCTAAAGCCTGGGGAGTATGAAAACGACCTCACTCAGTCCTCCAGAAGGCCGAAAATCAGGTGCCTGGCAAAAAATCATGCTGGAGCTGATGACTTGCATGCCGGCAGATATGGTTCTGCGTGCCACCTGTGGTATGTGTGCAATAGGTTCGCCATCATGGGACTAGTGAATGCTAGCTGCTATTATATTGGAAGTAAAAACTAGATTTATTAAGAAATAAATGAAGATTAGAAAAGCCTCCCACCTATAGAGGTCTTGGACAGATGGGATAAAATTATCCTTGTTGGTTGAACACAAAGACATATGTCAGGTGAGAAAGATGCTGAGATCTGTTTTTCCTTTTACCATGGGCTCCTAGGTGTAAAGAGATCATGCCATCTCTAACAATCAAACCCTTTTTTTAAAAAACGAGGCATGGATTACCTCCCCCCCCCCCCCAATAACAAGAGCTCAAGCAAACGGAATCCTTCATTTTGCATTATTGGTAGAAATGTCTTGGTGCATTCCTTTCACCCTAATTCTTCTCCCAGGAGGGAAAGGCAGACCTGGGGGAGGAAAGAGCTGACTGTTTTTCTTTCACAGGAATCTGGCAAAGCTGCTTACATTGAGGCCCTGCCAGCTGAGCTGGCCCCTTTTGAGAAGCTCTTGGCTGAGAACGATGGAGGGAAAGGCTTCATTGTAGGCAAACAGGTAATCAAACCATCACAGCTTCCTGTCGAAGACAGACATCTGGACTGGCCATTAATGGTCTTCCGGAGATGGAGGCAATTACTCTGGGGTGAAATTCATACATTGTTGTTAATGTGTGTTCACTGTTAATAAAATCACAGCAGTTTACTATATTGCAGCCACCGCCGTCTGGTTCATGCCAGCCATTAAATCAAAGCTAAAGCAATCAAGTATTGCTAATGTGCTAACAGCAGGCTTCTGCTTTGTCTTGTCTATATTAATCTTGATTTTAGATAAAGGGGGAATACCGACTTGTCCTTATTGTATAAATGGAGTAATACATTTAGAATCCCACTTCTACTCCCAGTTGATAGTATTTCTTAAAACTCAAGAAAGTTGCTTCTTTTAAAAAGGAAAATCAAGATTTTTCTGAAAGTTGGGGTTTTGTATTGTGTTCTGTGCTTTCCTGCAGTCCCACAGAATTGTTATAAAAATAAGGGCAAAAAGCCCCCCCCCCTTCCCCATGGGTGCTTACTTTTCAAAGCCTTTTCCAGCAAAGGCCATGCCAGGTTTGGTGCTTTCTTCTGTGACATAAAGCAACATGATGCATCAGTGTATGTGTTTCTACTTTCCCTCATGTTTTCTGAGCATATTTGTGTATGAGTGAGTGAAAACTGAGCAACCCTGAGCAGGTTGATTTCCCTCTTCCTGCCAGGGCTGCTCTTATTCCTGGGAGGGAGGGGGTGTTTCCTAGACAATTTACTGGGGGTAATTTTGACATGGCTTCTCTTATTGAGTGGTCTATGCAGAGCAGAGGTGGGTTCCTACTGGTTCGACCAGGTTCAGCCGAACCAATAGTGCAATGCCAGCATGGGTCACAGAACTGGCAGCGAGCCAGGCTGGCCACGCCGCCCAGTGGTGGTTCCAGATCCCGTTGCAACCGGTATGGTGCAACGGGGCTGGGCGTCCACCAAATGCATGCAGCAAGCGCATGCTTACTTACCGCCCACGATGCTCCAGCTGTTCGATGGAGCGTTGTGCAGGCTCTGTACGCACCATGTGCTTAAGCCCCGATTGGCTCAAATATAGGTAAGGAGNTTAAAAAAAGAAAAGAAATTCAAATACGAAAAACTGAGGAAGACTAAAAATGCTTAATTCTTCATCTACTTTTCTATCTGTTTTTTTAGAAGTCATGGAGGAAAAGAGCACAACGTAACAGAATGAAAGCATGGAAAATGTTTAGCATTCCTTCCCCTGTCTCTAGTGACTATTTTCTTTTCTTTCTTTCTTTTTTAAGTCCAAGAGTTCTCTGTGTAAGAGTAGCTTGCATGGAAGTTAGTATAAAATGCTTTATAGTTCTAATGTGTTTTTATATGTAGAAATCACACACATCTATGATGGCAAGCTTGCACAGATTCCAATAAAAATTATGTATTTTCCAAATCCTAGTAATTTCATTAGGATACATTCAAGCTAAAATAATAAATTAGGTAGTAATAAAGTTCAATAAATACAATGGGATTTACCTCTCAGCAAACACCGTGAAGCAATGTGAATCAGTTCACACTAAGTAAAGTATTTTTAAATTCTTCACTATGACTAACTCATCCTTTCAAATACCCAGGTTGTCTCCTGGAACAAACTACAATAATTGTAATGACAAAAAAAACTTTATTCTAAAAAAGTACTTTTTCCTTTATTGATTAATATTAATGCTAATAAAATTGTCACGAATGCAGATGGAATTCAACAGTACATGAAAAGGTACAGGTTACCTAATTAGTTATATATTGATTAATTATGTATGGATAAACTGATCCTAGAGTGATGCATCATAGCACAACTGAATGCAAATGTAAATCCTACTTATGTTACAGCACAATCTTATGTGGATTTATACATAAATTGTACTGAGTCAGTAAGTTTTCAGCCTTAGTAATCCATATAATGCTAAAATTCTAATTGCTTTAATTTTAAACTGGGTAAAATGGTGCATATGAACTAAAGGAATGCCAGTTCCTTTGTTATTAAGCTGGAATTTTTTTTAAAAAAAAAACATGAATCCAGAGAGACAAGTCTCCCTAGGCTTGGCCATCTTCACAGGAATTGAAATTTGGCAAATTGTACAAAACACTTTATGACATAAACATAACAATTTATGACATAATACAAAATGTCATAAAACATTTCCTGTGCTGATGTTGGCAGATACTTTTCTAGTGAAGAAAGAACATTAGAAGTTGTGTCACTGTTGAATCTGGTAAGGAAATATTTTTGAAAGGATGAGCTCATGGGTTGTTTAGTAACACAGACATTATGCAAGACTATGATATTTATGCACAAACGTGGAGTAATTTTACTCAGAATGCCATATTGCTGCTGATCTATGCAAATTATAGTATTGGGTTAGAACTAATACTGGATCAGACACTGGGAATTTGAGAATTCAGGGCTAACTTGTCAAACGATACAGGTTTTTTAAAAAAATAATTTTACAGAATCATTTATAATTGTGCTTAAAGTTGCTCCATTTGTGGATGTTCTGAAATTAGACAGGACAGGCAGCCCTGGTTATTCAGTAACAATTACAGAAAAGCTAGTCCAAAACCTGTGGAACAGCTGCATAAAGCTACCACAAACTGTCAGCTACTGCTTAATAATGTGAAATATTTCAAGTTTGAATTTCCCTGACCTCGTGCAGAGAAATTCCTGACTGTGGTGCTAAAGTGTCTTTCCCTGAAGCTCCAGTAACAGAAATGGCAGAAAATGCTGATGAGAGAATATTTAATAAATGAGCTCTAATTTGATACGAGGGAGAAAACAGAACAGAAGCAAAATGAAACAACAAATGACAGAAAGATCATGTGTATAATAAAACATGGGCTATTTCTATCACAAATTTAATGTAATATGGCTTTACTAAAGACATAATCCTACTGGGGCTTTTTGGCTTTGCTCTATTAGGCAAACTCCGCACAACCCCTTATTACTGTATAACAATGATGCAGCGATTTACTTATTGATTGATTTTATTTATCTATATTCCACCTTTGTTATTTTTACCAATAATTCAAGGCAGTCAACATATCCAACACTCCTTCCTCCTTCTATTTTCCCTACAATAACAACCCTGTGAAACAACTCGGGCTGAGAGAAAGCGACTGGTCCAAGATCACCCAGCTGGCATTGTAGGCTAAGGCGGGACTTGAACTTGCAGCTCTTGCTTTCTAGCCCAGTGCCTTAACCTGTGCAGACCAAACTGGCTCTCTTTGTCTGAAAGGTTTTTAAGAAGATAAAGCTTATTTATTATCCGCAGTCTGTTTTTGCTCTTCTTGTTTCCCCGAAAATGTGGAGTTACACTATGAGCTACTAAGCATGGCTTCCTTTTTATCATTTATTATTATATTACAAAGCCTTTTATCTTTCGCAAGTTTCCAAGATTCAGTACATACAACCAGCACAATTCATTCTTTATTGTGGCCCCCTGACAGCCTCCATGGTATCCCAGGGGACCAAGAGCCAGGTCATTAATGCATGCAATACTGCCTTCCTTCTAGCTAGCCAATCAGGTACTGTGGCCTCATTCTTATAAAAAGGCATCAAGTAACTCAACTAACGTTCCTGAAAGTTAATCTAAAGAAATAATTCACTTACATATAGGAAAAATGACAAACAGAAAAGTGCTGTTTCTGACTCAGAATGACAACATGATAGCCATCCGGGGTTTGGGTGATGAAAAAAATCAAGATGATTGTTACAGTACAAGACTTCCCTTTATACGTGTCACAATGAGCATAACACTGAGAAAAACAAGCTACCTTCAGTAATGTGTGACTTGTTTTAGATTTGATGTACCAGAAACTTTGGAAAATCAACTGAAGATGAAAGAGCATTGGAAACAAGTCAAATAAAAAATTGTCCCTCTTAAATACAGGCTGCAGGAGCAGTGAAAGCATTGTATTTTTCTAGCCTATGCTAAATTTCAGAAGCTCTGTATTCTGATATTTTGATTTTGCAATGCTTATGGCCACTTGAGACCACCAATAGATCTCTTTACTAAACAGTTATTAAAAAAACAAAAGCAGAGCCTTTACATTGTAAACAAGTTTGAGGAAAAGACTAATCTATAATAGAAAAACTGTAATCTTTGTTTCATTGTCTTTGAAAGATTTGGGGAAGAGGCCCTTCCTTCCTGATGGAAGGACACACGAGTCAAAAATAATTCTCAGACAATCATGTAAAAGTCTTCAATACCAAGCCATATTTATAAGACATTATCAGTTCTTAAGAACAGAAACAATTTTGTATATCATGACTATAATTCTCTATTTACTCACTTTAATGTCTATATTAGGCTACAAGGCTATAAGGCAATTTCATTTAAATAATTTCACATAATTCATAGCACCAATTGCCGAGAACCATTTAGTAAGAAGTCTCTCTCTCTTACTCCCTCCCCCCCTGTGTATGTATGTGCCTGTCTGTCTGTCTTTTGGAGAGGAAAATAAAATAATGGTATCTTCAGATTAAATAAGCAAAAATAGCTTCAAATAAAAAACTAGGGAGATGTTAAAGCTTTTATCTTGTATTTAACTAAATTCCCTCTTATAGAAGGTGATTCACAGTGAAAGAGCAACAATTTGTTCAGCCCTAGCAACTAAGTTGAAAATCTTATCATGGAAGCACTAGTTATGAACATGCCACAATGAAAAAATAGCATGTTATTACAAAGCAAGACAAATGTGGGATTATCAGAATTCTCATTAAAACACCAAACAGTTAAAAAAGAAAAAGAGTTAAAAAGAAGCTTTTACCCATAAAAATTTCATCATTAGTTCCTAACTGTGATGATATTGCTATTATACTTTTGTTGTAAGTAGGTTCAGTTGGCACACATCTTTGCAGTCAAGCAGCTTATTAAATAAAATATCACAGTTCATATTTTCTTCTAGCACACATTCTTCTGAATAGGTATTTTCTTTAAAAATATTCTAATTCCATTCAAATACAAGACTCATCATAATAATCTAAATGATAAAATATCATATTAGGAATTAAAAATAACCCTTTTTGTTTGTAAATTCAACCAAAAAATCCCGGTGAATTTTTGAATGTATACTGTAACCTTTAGTCTATGTGTTTTCCAAGAAAACAGGTCAAACCCAGTACTATTTTCCATCCTCTTCAACTTCCTTGCTTTAGGTTTTCAAACAGAGACAATCACATCCAGATAAAGTCTGTCATAGGATTCCCTGAAGCATAAGATGAGTAGAAGGCTTAGTAAGCAGGAACCTGGGAGGCACCAGTTAAACCAAGAAAATTCTATAGGAGAAAAAAAATAGTTCAGTTATTTGTGTAACACTGTATTTCACTTTAATAAAGCAGTAATTCTAAAAACAGGCTCACAATCTAGACTCCACAATACTTTTGGAGGGGGGGGGATGCTTTTAGCCTCAAAGCTATCTTCAAGTGAAAATCAACTGTCTCAAAATGAGTACTTTTATCAAAAGCAACCGGTCTCATCAACAACAGATATTGAGAGAAATCATGATATTAATGACTTCTGAAAGTAGGATTGGGAGAGGTTTTTCTATTAGGTATCATATTTGAAACACAAAAATGTCTCTGAAAAAAAAAAAGTGCAAATCAGAACCCAAATTTTAAAACAATTCTATAATTGAGCTAAGGGCACTGCAACAATGAGAAGTGAAGAAACACCCATTTCTCTAGTTCTCTCTATACATCTACAGATCTAAAAACCCTTCAAATATTATTGCTTAGGTCAATCCCGTATCCTCAGGCTAAATATAAAACACAGTGTATTTTCTTTAAAATCTCTATGTTAAAGAGGAAATATGCAATAAACCATTCCTACCAAAGACAATTATATCTCTTAATGAATGGCTAATAACTGTATTATTGCTTTTATTTAAAAAAAACACATTCAGGGAGCATTATAGCAATAAAACTAACGATAAAAAAGAAAGCATAGCCATAAACTTTAATACAATTAAAGTCAAAATCAAACTTTATATCAGGATCATTAAGTTTGGAATGCAGTAGCCGAGAACTATGGAGCTGATGAAAAGCTCCCATTGGCATCTCCCAGCAGTTTTACACAGAGTTTAACAACCCTGACAACAAGAGAGAATATCTGACTGGAAGTTCCAAAACCATTGCAAGAATCGGCCTCCAACAGCCATCCCAGCAGATGCTCACAGGGAAATATCATGGCTGAAAGTACTTACATTTGCTGAGCATCTGCTATGCTCTTAAACATACATCCAAATAAATTATCTGATTTTTTTTGCATCACATTACCATGAGACACAATTAAGTACACACATCTCTAAACTACATCAAATAATAATTGCCACAGCTAAGACAGCACAGAGGACGTTAATGAGGATATTTTCTAAAATCTCTTTACACTTTTAAAGCTACAAAAGAATGATTGACTTTCCTGCTCTTAGTTGAGCCAACAAATGATTTGAATGCAAGACAGCTATCTTTATTCTCATTCCTACGACAAACTAATGAGAATTAGTAGCTCCTATCCTCCTCGGATTCATAAAAACTTTTTAACACTTATTATTAAGAACTTGCTAAGGGGAAATTTTGTATTTGGAATTTAAATGAAGTAATTTGATAAGAATACACACAAAACATGAACATACGTTGGTCTTTCTTTATCAAACTGTTTTGCATATGTGTGTACACACACACACACACACATATTTATATATAGCTTGGAACCACTTATTGCTACATTGGGAAATTGATTAAAGAATTTACAGGAAGGAAATAATTACATTGTTTCTTCCCTCCAAAGGGAATTAGATTATTGAAACAAGAGACTAGATTAGTTTTATCACAGATTTTGATTGCCAGTTACAAATGTGATTTATAGCAATAATATTGCACTGATCTTTGTTAAAAATGTGTACATTTAATAATAATCTCCACAGTGTTTATTTTAAAGACAGCCACTATTCCAAATAGAAAGAAATGCTTCCACAAAGATGTCATTCTCTGATTGACAGACAGTTAGACAAACACTTAGATGGCCCAGTTTCAATATCATTAGCATTAGTAGAGGAGGTGTATGCAGTCTACCTTGTTGAATGACTCTCCGAATGAAATATATCACATTGGTAAATTTATATGAGCAAGCATTCAAAACACTTCTTACCTCTATGGTAGAAACTAAAGAAAAACAAAAGAACTCCCATGAACATGTTATTTAGGAAGGTGACCACGCCACAGGTAATCCCTTCAGGAACAGGATAGACCGTTTCCACAAAAAGTTCAAAGAAGATAGGGACGCTGCTGTTCAAGAAGACACCCAGCAAAATGCAGGAAGTATAAAGTGTGGCTGTAATGAAAGGACACATGTTCAGTGATTTTGCACCACGACTCTGCTACTGTACAGTTTTGTAATAATAATAAACTGATATGAACCTTTTTGATCAGATTTTTATAACTTTAAACATGAGACACACATGGAGCTTTCACATAATGATTTTTACTAGACTAAGAAAATAGAAGACTAATTTGCTAATCATAATTGTAGATATATGCAGATTTCCTGCTAGCAACAGAAATACAATAATTAGTATATTTGAGCCAGTATGCCACAAATGCAATCTAAGTCTAGTTTTACACAGGTGTGTATTCTATGCAAGCCAGGAACTCTAATCTTGAAATTACTTCACTAGCCAACATACAACTGTCCATATCCCACCATGCTTAAATTACTTATTGACATTATGAGAAAAGGGTTGGAATCAAGAATAGGTGCTACGTGAATACAGATTAACAACGAATAAGTGTGACCAGTGCATGAAACAAATAGAAGCGGTTTGGTCATACAAATTTAGAGGAAGGGTAAGACCAAGAAAGTCATGGCTTGATGAAGTTACGAGCCTGTCAAAAAGAGAAACAAAACCTTAAAGGTTAAAAGGCAATACATGAGGCAATATATCAATATGGGAGAAGCAAAGGTGATTTAGAAAAAGTTACAGAAAGCTGTATTGTAGGATGCAAACCAGATTTAGCTATATTTTCTTTGTGTGCTTCTTATATGGTATCATTAATGTTGTTTTCTCACAACTTATTAACGTCACCAGGCTATACACAGTGTGGCTTATGAAAAAAGAAAAGAGCTTGAGTCATACAGTAAATACGTCTGTGGTTTTGTTTGTTTGTGTGTGTTTGTGTGTGTGTGTGTGTGTGTGTGTGCGCGCGCTATATTACTTGAGTATGTATAAATTTGATCCAAATACATTTGATCCAAATACATGCAATGGTATATTGTACAATCATAGCTTCCTAAAGGACAGAAGGCATGTTACTTTGTTCACATAACATATAACTGAGTAGTCCAGCTGTACAGAAAAAAAGTCCTGGAATTTCTGAATCTATCATCTGTAATTGAGCAGAAGGATTATTATTTCTCCTTGTAATGGGCAGATGTCACCCTCTCGTTTGTATATGCTTACTTAATGAGCAGATAACTTACTGTGGACTAACAAGTGGACCCTATTGAAAATATCTGTAGGCTCTTGTATAAATCATCTATGTATATACTTGTGTACATATTCTCAGAATTATTCTGACATCCTTTAGAACTCAATTATTGCAAATACAGTACATTATAACAATAAATGAGCTGTTACACAGACAGACCTGCAAATGTTTTTGATCTCTTGAGTAAATATGTCTGACAGGTATTGGCTAGCTTAAGCTTCTTTTTCAGAACAGTACAAAACTACCCAAATATCATTGAATAAAAATAATGTCCCAATTTAGTAATAGAATTCATTCTCAGGTTTCTAAACCTCAAGAGGCCTCATTTTCCATTGAGTGAACATTCTAGTAGTGTTTAACTGGAAGAGCCCAATTTAATATTTTTCAACACATTCTTCTTGTACCAGAATAATATGTAAATAGCAGAACACACTCTCAATGAGTTTTCTGCTTTTCCCATTTCTACTGCAGCAATGGCTCTGGTGAGATAAAGCTAGATCATCCAAAAGAAAACAAAGCCAAGGAATTCCACAAATGTGGTCTCATATGGAGCAAAATAAATTTCTTGATGGTCCAAAATAAAAATATTAGCTCCTGGGCTTTATAAGTTCTTTAGAAGAATAATTATTATTTTCCTCATCCTACTAATGGTATTGGATGGATATAAACAATAATGGTATCCTATTCCAAACACCATGTGTCTGCTTTACACTTAACTAATGTGCAGGCTTATTTGCATACAGAAAAGGTTTTACTATCTAAAGAATTAGATCTGAGAGTCTGGACTGTAAATCCTTACACTGAAGCTATTATTATAAAAAGGGTAGCTTATTTCTTAAATGTAAACATCTACATTTATTTAAATACAAATAAGCAAACTAACAGAATTTACCATTCTACAATCAATCATTTATCATTTTCATGCTTTAAACACTAAAGATAAGAATTGGTTCTAGTTTGGGCATTATGGTCAAACTAAATTTTAATTACTGAGTGCCTAGTTCCTAGGATTCACTAACAAGAATACTTAAAGTTTGTGTAGATATTCTCAGAAAATGTATCTGGTTTGATAGAAAGGATGGGGGATTCTTCAGATTTTTCTAGCATACAATCCCAAACAAACTAAAAAAAAGTGATCAAGAATGCAGAATGTTATTTGAAAGTGCTCAAGTCAACTGTAAATTATGCTATGCTTATACTAGTTCCCTTCCCATAAATATTGCCACGTATAAAATGACCGTTAGGTTACACAGAATACAGTGCCGAGACTGGGAGTGAACTTGGCCATTAACAACAACATTTCATTACTCTGCCGTTGTTTTTTTAATTGTGTCCTTTCATTGCTAGAAATAAAATTTCTTGTGTTGCTGGATGACACATTTGCTTGAAGAGTTGAAGAGGGGAAAAAAAAAGCTTTGTGATAAATCTGGCCTTCAAAGACAATATACATGTTCCAGTTGGGAAAAAAACCCAGATTAAATCCAAAAGCTCTTTTGGGATAGGGGAAGGCTAGACTGCAAAGTTACAATGATGTCTCTATCATGGCAAATATAAACCAGAAAACAAAGGTTTGACATCTCATTTTTGCTGTGGAAACTTTGTGTCTAGCCTTGTGCTAACGAATTAGACAGTTAAGGCAGAAGGCTCTTAATAATTGAAGGCTAGTGTCAAGTCCCCGCATATCTTAAATTGTTGATCTGAACACCATTTACTTTGAGATAATATCTTTACCCTCATGAAATCTTAAGCAAAAGCTGAATAATAATGAATAATATTGTCTCTTTGAGAGTGGAACACAGATTCCCTATTCACTGATATGATTTATGAATGACAGAGATTAGAAGCATAGGAGATAAGGCACAGCAATTTTTCTTCTTAACACGTGCCTTTTTTTTCCCCCCAGGAAGAAAACATTAAAAAAAAAAAAAAACATGACATGCTGAGAAAAAAAAAATCTGGAAAACAAATTGCATGGACTTTGAATGGAACAAAATAAGCTAGCTTTTATACGCATTGTGGCTTTATGTTATCCTTTTGTCTTCTGTAACGAAGCCCAAGAATTTTTAAATGAGAAATCATTAGGAGAGCTAATAGGTTTTTCGGTAATCAATTTATGGAAGCAGTCTATTAAGAGCAATGATAGCAACCTATTAGTTCTAACATTTATTTCAATACTGTTCCTTGAAGTATCTGGTATTATAGGGGAAATAAATTGAATACACTGTTATAGACATACGGAGGTGATTTAAGAAAGCCACAATTTCTCACCTTTAACCTTTATTTCATTAATGCCTGCGGCAGGGACTTCTGTGTTCTATATTGTATTGCACCCTCCTCCAAATATGTTGTACTGCAACTGCCATCATCCCCATGCAACACAAGCAATGGTACCAGAGTGGGGAAAGCTATAAGGTTGTGAATTTTGGTGTCTATGAACTTTGAAAATGTTTACTGAAAAGCAGAGCCCAAACTTCAAAACAAACACTGCAACTAGGTCAGTTCTATCTCATGCATTCTTCTTTTTCTTAAGGACTAGGAAGGCCTCAGCCCTGCTCTACCAGGGCGAATGATTCAGAAACATTCAACGTAACAACAATATAGTTTGCTTATTTATGAAGTTCATATAGCTGCACATCTCACAAAAAGTGACTCCGTCTGTGTGTGTGTATCATACAATAGTGGAGTAAAACAATCAATCAATCAATCAGATTGCAAGATGATCAAACCAGTAAGTCCTAGAGGAGATCGACCTTGACTGCTCTTTAGAAGGCCAGATCCTGAAGATGAAATTCAAATACTTTGGCCACCTAATGAGAAGGAAGGACTCACTGGAGATGCCTAATGCTGGGAATGATTGAAGGCAAAAGAAGGGGATGACAGAGAATGAGGTGACTGGATGGAGTCACCGAAGCAGTAGGCATGAGCTTAAATAGATTTTGCAACTAACAAATAACAAATAAACACACACACACACACACACACACACACACAAATTATTAAAAATCTAAAAATCGTTAAATTATAATGACTGGAAGGCATAGGAAACAGTGAATATTAGCCACAATGCTGGAGCCATTTTAGAATGTCACTGGTTCCCTGGGATCCCATGATGACATAGCCAGGTCTTGAGGGACTTCCCTGGAAAGTAGTTATTTACGTAAGGACCAATTTCAAGGTTCAAGGTTCCTTTTATTTATATGCCGCCCTATTCCCAGCGGGACTCAGGGCGGCACACAAACCCAAGGGAGCGGAAGGGAAACACAAAGAACTACAACAAAAAATACAAGGGAATTTAAAACAACCAACAGCCACACAATTCGAGAGGGGAAGGGAACTCATCGACCCCAGGCCTGCCAACACAGCCAGGTTTTAACGGCTTTTCGGAAGGCCTGGAGAGAGGTGAGGGTCCAAATCTCTGCGGGGAGCTCGTTCCAAAGGGCCGGAGCCGCCAATTTGGGGAAAATGTAAGTTTACTCAGTTCAAGTAATGGTAAATTACTTGGGGATGCAAACAGAACTAAACATACATCCTTCTCACACATCCAAAAAGGCCAGACATGCCAGATTGAGGACAGGATATCACAGCAACTTGCAGAAATGGGAACTTCAGCTCCCAGAACTAGCAATTGTTATGCTATGTGGTGAAGTTGGAAGTTGGTGGTTACATTCGGAACTTGACTTGTTCCTTATTCAAGCTCTTGACAAATGTTATTCTGGAGCCAGCAGGCCAATAGGAAAGTTCAAGTTACAAAATTTTGCCTTCTTAGAACTCAGTACTATTTTAGCTTTGCTATATCAGTAATAGCCAAGAGATGATTCATGAGTTACTTTTCTGAAGTCTGATTGC